AAGTCTAGGAATTCCGCCTCACTCATTGGATAACATAGAAGATATAGACATGGACACACAGAGACGCCATTGTACAGAGGATTCTATACAAGCCGCTCAGCACCGTTACACAGGGAGGAGGCGCAGAGACACATTACAGCAGATCTATGAATGGTGAACGCAGCAAGACAGAGCGTGAGGCTTCCTGAGATGTAGAGAGTTCCTCAGACCACGAGGTATGAAGTGTCAGCTCTGTGTACAAGCCCGGGAGGTATGAAGTGTCAGCTCTGTGTACAAGCCCTGGAGGTATGAAGTGTCAGCTCTGTGTACCGGTCCGGGAGGTATGAAGTGTCAGCTCCGTGTACCGGTCCGGGAGGTATGAAGTGTCAGCTCCGTGTTCCGGTCCGGGAGGTATGAAGTGTCAGCTCCGTGTTCCGGTCCGGGAGGTATAAAGTGTCAGCTCCGTGTACCGGTCCGGGAGGTATGAAGTGTTAGCTCCGTGTTCCAGTCCGGGAGGTATGAAGTGTCAGCTCTGTGTACCGGTCCGGGAGGAATGAAGTGTCAGCTCTGTGTACCTACCTGGGAGGAATGAAGTGTCAGCTCCGTGTACCGGTCCGGGAGGAATGAAGTGTCAGCTCCGTGTACCGGTCCGGGAGGTATGAAGTGTCAGCTCTGTGTACCGGTCCGGGAGGTATGAAGTGTCAGCTCCGTGTTCCGGTCCGGGAGGTATAAAGTGTCAGCTCCGTGTACCGGTCCGGGAGGTATGAAGTGTTAGCTCCGTGTTCCAGTCCGGGAGGTATGAAGTGTCAGCTCTGTGTACCGGTCCGGGAGGAATGAAGTGTCAGCTCTGTGTACCTACCTGGGAGGAATGAAGTGTCAGCTCCGTGTACCGGTCCGGGAGGAATGAAGTGTCAGCTCCGTGTACCGGTCCGGGAGGAATGAAGTGTCAGCTCCGTGTACCGGTCCGGGAGGTATTAGGATATTATTGCCGTTGTAGATGTCGCACGTTTCCCTTTCCTGATATTCAAAGTTTATTTTGTATAAATTCCCAGAAGTATCCATAGAGATATTATAGAGATCCATGTCCCCTCCCCCACCCTCCGTCCCAGTATCCATATTGCTGATAGTCCCAAAAGATTTGTCTACGTTTGTCCCGTTCCTTGTCCTTCACCGCGCTCCCCTCACCCGCGTGCTGGGCTTCGCACTCAGGCGTCTCTTTGGCGACATTTTGAGGACATCGTGAACAGACGGATCCTTATAGAGAGCAACTGAATGAAGGGAAGAGAAGGAAGAGGAAGGAAATGAAGGGAAGGAAAATAAAGACAGAGAAGGGAAGACATTGGAGGTCAAATAAGAAAAGAAAAAGAAGAAAAAGTAAAAGGATAGAAATTGAAGTCAGGAAGAGAAGGAATATAAAGAGAAAATAAGTTAAGAAAGGGAAGGGAAAGAATAGAAAGAGGAATGAAATAATGGAAGGGGCGGGACATAAAGAAAGATGTAAGGGAAGGGAAAGAAAGGACATGAAGGTAATGGAAGGGAGAGAAGGTGGAGGTGCCAGAGCAGAAGCAGAGAGAAAAAGAAAGATGAGAGAGTTAAAAATTAGAGCAGGACTTCCATCTAAACCCTTTACGCCCAACCCCCC